GCTAACTCACAGAGCGAACCCTGCTAAAACAACCTCTGGACTAACTAAATTCAGGGCACGGCTAACTCACAGAGCGAACCCTGCTAAAACAACCTTTTAGCTGATCAAAGTCAGGGCACGGCTAACTCACAGAACGAACCCTGCTAAAACAACCTCTTAGCTGATCAAAGTCAGGGCACGGCTAACTCACANCTCTTAGCTGATCAAAGTCAGGGCACGGCTAACTCACAGAACGAACCCTGCTAAAACAACCTCTTAGCTGATCAAAGTCAGGGCACGGCTAACTCGCAGAGCGAACCCTGCTAAAACAACCTCTTAGCTGATCAAAGTCAGGGCATTGCTAACTCACACAGCAAACCCTGCCGAACCAATCTCTGGGTTGATCTAAGTCAGGGCACGGCTAACTCAAAGAGCGAACCCTTAAACAACCCGGCTCTGGGTTGAATACCGTAAAGATATCACTATTAAAGCACAGATCGATTTGGAATCTAACGCGTTAGGATTGTGCAAAAATTGATTTACTTTATTAGTCTGTTATTACATTAACAACCTTATTTTTCCATACTATACTAATACTGCACGCATGTTATGATATGTCGATTATTGACTTGTCTTTCTCTTCCTACCTTCCATTCAATTCTACTTCTTTCTGATCCTCAACTAACAGACAGGAAAGTCCTCCGGAATCTCGAGCCCTACTGGTGTAAGTTTTTAAATCCGTAAAATCCTTTTAAATGTTGATAAATGTTTTGAACATTCGAAATATTTATTATACAATCATAAACTTTAAAAAATTAAAAGTAAATTCAGCAAAAAAAATATAAAATACAACTATATTTATATATTTTAAGGCTTGACAGTTAAATATTCTAAAAGTCTATAAACGTTTGACCCATTTAACGTCTACTGGAAGCCTTTTTTTAAGAAACGGGGCTATTTTACGAGCATTTATTAGCAAGCCCCGCGTAGGAAGTTAATAAAACCTGTTTTGGTTCTTGAAAGCCTCAACAATATTTATTTGAAAATGTAATTTTCCCCATATTTTTAAATTCCTTAAACTTAAACAGTTTCTAAAAACTATTAAAATCGTAAAGGTTATTATATACATATTTTCTTGGAATTGATAAACGATCATTTGGTCATCATGAGATCGGTATAAAATACTTAATATAACAATATAAATGAAAAGAGTACTGTAACCAAACTCTTTTAAAGAAACCGAAAACGATCGATTTTTCATTAAAATGGCCTGTGAGATATGCTTTTACTTAAGCCCGTCGAAACTTTTAGCTGAAACTTGTGTGCAGCGGGGTTGCGAGACAAGTTTCGGAACGAATTGCACCGTGAAACGCCTCCAGCTTTCTGAAACTTTCGTCGCAACAACTGTTCAAGAAAAGTAGAATTGCTTTCTACTCGTACAACCAAAACTTGTGTCGCTAACGAGTTTCAGGACGAAATTGCGCCGTATAACTTTGAACCCCCTTCAAACTGTCCTTGACATGCCATCCAGCCAGACTCCCAACACTTCCAGTGAGCAAGCAACTTCAACATGGCGGATGATAGTGGTTTCACGAAAATGTTGCGCCTTGTAGTACCCCCTCGAAACTTGTCTCGCAACGCCGTTGCACTACACAAATTTCGAATTTCAAATTTCGTCTAACAGGACCTTAATGGGAGTGAGTAACCAAAAATGGAGCAGCGTGAAAGGTGCTTTCATGACGTTAATTTTTTTTCTTTATAGGTTTGTGTGGAATGCCCTTCAGGGTCATTTTGTCCCAATATTTCATCCCTCCCCGAGAGCTGCCCTCAGGGGACCTACAGTCTTGGTTCCGCTGTCAATTGTACAGATTGTCCAGCAGGCTATAAATGTCCAGTCACCGATGTACCTCCACAACCTTGTGAAGCGGGGAAATACAGTAATTCATCAGCTACAGTATGTACTGACTGTAGTGCAGGATACGTCTGCAAGGGTCGTAACACCTCCCCACGACCAGCTGAGGGGCTGTGCCCTGTTGGGTATTACTGTAAGGATGGACGTGATGCAACTCCTTGCCCTGAGGGGACGTTCGGGAATTCTACCGGGGCTGCGAGTGAAAGCATTGGATGTGCTGCGTGTCCTCCTGGGTATTTCTGCCCTCGAGGAACCCCTGGGTACCCCACACGAAGGTTAGTATACTATTAGTAATAATCAACGATAAACGATAATAATCAGAACTTGCGAAGAAAGTGCTCCTGTATTTGTTTGCTATCTCATTATTAGATTGGTCTGTCCAGCTGGCCACTACTGTCTTGAAGGAACTCGCACTCAATATCAAACCCCTTGTCCCGATGGAAAATTTAGCCGAGAGCTTGGTCTGGAAAGAGAAAATCAATGCATCGATTGTCCAATTGGTTACTATTGTCCTCAAGGGGATAGATACGGTGATAGGCTGTGTCCCRCGGGTCACTACTGTGGCCATTCTGTTGGAGACTATAAGACGACACCTTGTCCCGCGGGAACATTTCAAGAAGAGCAAGGGTCTCGGTGTAAGTAAAATACTCTGACTTTCAGAACTGCGCGACCCAGAAAACCATTTGTAATCTTGGACGTTTGGTTTCTTAGTTTCCTTCCATAAAAACGATTATCTAGACACGAAAATTTGAAAATGTGGTTAACACAAGAGCTCTGAAATTGTTGTTCCTCTTACTTATCGAGAAAATGGGGTTTTACTGTGTAGGTTGAGTTCTTTCGCCCATTTTCCAAGAAGGGCACTTCGAAGAAGGGAGGGGGGATAGACGACGCCACACCCTTTTCTCAGATTAGATCAGAACATGTGAAACGGTTCATTAGGTATTGAACGACATCGTTTAACAGACGTTATCAACATATTTGAAATATATTTGAAGTCACATTTCCTCATTGAATCAAAATTTTCAATGTCATTAATTCCATTACTGGCTTTAAAAAATCTCATGTATCTTTGTTGATTTTAGATAAGTCAGACTGTAAGACATGCCCTACAGGATATTATTGTATTCCTGGCTCAAGTGTGCCTACACCATGTCCACCTGGCAAATACAGCAGGTTAACTGGTGTAGGTTCTCTGGGAGAGTGTCGTTCTTGTATCGCTGGTATGGCATGTCCTCAGCCAGGTCTGTCGTACCCTCCCGTTAAATGTGATGCAGGATATTACTGTCCAGCTGGCTCTGTTCTTCCTAATGCCACCAGACACGCATGTCCACCGGGTACCTATACAGACTTTCATAACTTGACCCATTCACGTGAATGTACTCCATGTCCGGAGAGACAGTCTTGCCAGGCAGGCACGGGAGGGTTGCAGAAACCTCCACAGACATGTGCTGCAGGTAAGTCGTTTTCTTCAACGGGAAGCAATGTACAATTAAAAAATACTCAGTATGGTCGTGTTACAGTAGAGTGCATACCATATATATCCACGAAAAAGTTAAACAAAATTGGGGCAAAGTTTTGTAGGTCTACGGTTTACTGAACTTACATGTACTAGACATTACTAATTTTTGCAAAATTGTGCTATTTCTTACAAAGTTTTTCGCGGATATATTGTATGCACTCTATGAACTTCATCCCAAGGGCGGATCCAGGAGGGGCAAAGGGGGGCTGAAGCCCCCCTTCAGCAGAAACAAAACCAAACAAAACTGAAGAATTAGATGCTTTTTTTATTGTTTTCCGTTGTGTTGACGGAACTGATCAACTAACCCTCCTAAACTCAATTAGCCCCTCCCCCCCTAAAATTTTGGCTGGATCCGCCCTTGCATCCACTAAACCAGACACAGCATCAATGATCTATTAAAGTACACCTTACCCCTAATTACTCAAAGACACCTCATATGAAGAAATGTTTCAACATCCAGTTATTTACTTACTTTATGTGACATCAATGCTGATAGTATGTTATTATGGGTTAGAAACACTTTGAAATTTTTTCATAATGAGTTAATCACCGTTTTTTTTTTGTTTGTTTGTTTGTTTTTTGTCTTTGTCGTTGTTGTTGTTGTTTTGGTTTTTTTTCTTTTGTGCTTCGAGGGCTTTCCCGGTTTTCCAATTCTCGTTCCTCCACGAACATTAACTGAGCACTGAATTCTCATTGGGTCTAGTAGGAGACCCCGTCTGAGGTTCCAATGGTAAATCTGTGTTATCACCAGGGTCCACAATGAACTCCTTGTACGAAGTCCATAGAAAAAATTGTTCTTGGGGACAAAACAATTGATTTTTTTTTTTTTTTTCGTAAGAAAAGACGAGCTATTGTTTTGTCCCCCAGAACAATTCCTTTAGGAAATCGATGCAAGAGGTCTATAATTGGTGTAAGCTGTTATTGTGTCCCTGCCCTAACGAGAAAAGTTAATAAAAATGAAATAAAAAATATTTTTCTTCATCAGGCTACTTCTGTCCTCGTGGTACTCAAAGTCCAACCCAGTTTGCCTGCGCTGCAGGGTCCTGGAGCAATCTAACAAACTTAAGAGACCAAAGTGAATGTTATGCGTGCCCAAAGGGATGGTTTTGTCTCATGGCAAGTGCTGTGCCCTCAGGGCTTTGTAAACCAGGACACTATTGCCCAGAAGGTTAGTATTATCTATTATTGCCTCCGTTCTTGGTAATTAACTCTTACATATCCCTCTTGTGGTGATACCAATTTGGGAATATGACCCAATTTTGTTTCCAAATGTTTTGATTTTTTTGATAAACGAAATAGCTTCATTGTCAATTTCTCTCTATTTCCAGTTGTTTCAAAATTCCATTACTATTTTCAATGTTTTCACCTTTGAATACTGAAAGCTACATTAGCTTGATAACTCGAGTTGTTTTTATCAATGTTCTCAACATTCTTAAGACAACTACGTAAAATATTTATTTGCAGTAATATCATAGCATTAGCACGGGCATGTTGTTCACTAATCGTCTTTGGGCTCATAGACTTGTGTAAGAGAGTATATATGAAATATATATTGTACTGCGGTTTAAATGTATCAAATTGAGCTGCTCCTCGCAATATATCATGCAACTTATGCAGCTGCAAATTGAGGGGATTTGAACCCGTTCCCTGGCGATTCCGGTGCCATGCTCTAACAACTGATCTACCAAGTCTGGTATGAGACTTCAAGGATACATTAGGTGGGTTTATCGGCCCAGTGTTATGAATGATGTAAAATCCTATTTTGCCAATTTTTTGCAATATGGTATCCCTCTCTTAAATTATATTTGATATCAATGTCCCTGTTTACTTGCAGGTACCCAACGTGGAACTCAGTTTCCTTGTGCATCTGGTACATATTCCAACAAAACTGGGAACGTGCGATGGGAACAATGTGAGCCGTGTCCTGAAGGCCATTACTGTCCTAGAGGAACTGCTGTTCCCGAAAAGTGTCCAAGGGGAACGTATAATGATGTCCTTAGTGCGAAGGTGAGTAATGGGCTTTGTATAATCTATTTGTTTTAATGAAGGAATTAATCGTTTCATTAATCCTGCCTTTAATAATAATAATAATAATAATAATAATAATAATAATAAATATGTATTTATATAGCGCATTATAGACTCTCAATGCGCTTTACAAATATTACGATGAAATGTTAAGTGAAAAACTAGATTAAAGTTACAAATTGAACAAAAATGTTTTTAGTTTTCTCTTGAATATTTCCAAAGACTGCGATATTTTTTTCCGTTTGTACAACTCATTCGTACTTGAGATGTGTTGTTTCAACTATCTTAAATTTTTAAAACGAGTTTTGAGATTTTGGGCATTTTGCTCATCTTTGGAGGTTGTTTCAATCACAGTTAATAAGGGATGGCAAGATCTACGACGTCAGCAATTGACCCCCTGGCTTCCAAGCCAATAGACCCCTTGCTGTACGTCGGAATGCAGCTCAATTTGGAGGACATAACAATGGATTTCCAATGTCATGAGATTGAAATTATTTTGTTTTGTCCTCCAAAATTGAGCTGCTTAGGCGTCACATGCAAGGGATCCATTGCTTACCATAGTTTGTAAACTTGATTAACAGAAATTTAATACCAGTAAAATTGGCACTCCTGAAGTTACTGAGACACTTCTGGAGTTACTTATAAGTCGTAAAGAAGTGCTCTAGCCAAGCAAAGCTAAAGTCAGTTATAAAATTAAATATTTAAATGATTTTATTTTTTGTTTACTTGCAAGGATCTTGGAGGTTGCAAGCCGTGTGTCCCTGGATACTACTGCCCAGGCACTGCTAACGTCCAGCCCGCTGCATGTAGAAGAGGAAATTATTCGGTAAATTAACTTCTTTATTGCTATCCACCTCTCGCATTATGTTTTCCTCCAAAACCTCCTCACAAGCTTCAAAACAAACCTCAATTCCCACAGTCATGAATCTCTGCCTTTCCCCAAACGAGCTCCTAATAAATGGCTTAAACTTTTATTCTTGTTGTTTGTGACTAGGCATCCGGTGCATACGTATGTTCAACATGCGAACCAGGATTCTACTGTGCAAGTGAGACAACCAGTCGTAGTGAGATGTTAACTGTTATGATATGCCCCGCTGGTCTTCACTGTCCTGCTGGTACTAGTGTTACACCTGATCTTGTCTCGCATGCCTGCCAAGCTGGATCCTATTGCCTCAGAGGAGATCAGGTAAAGAGCGTAACTCATAGTTGTCATAGTTGAAGCGTTCCCTTCTCTTCTCTGGTGTCTCGGGGTCGAGAATTGTTAGTGAAACTCCTGGAATCGTGGCCATTTGTCTGTGTAGCCTGATTGATTGAAACTAATAAATACGATCATCTAAAAACTCAGGAGTAGTGACATGGAAAATGAAAGTGAATGTTTTTTTGTATTTAGAATGCCTTTCCTATTAAGTGTCCCAATGGAACATTCAATCCAAATACTGGACGCAAACTTGTCAGTGAATGTCAGAAGTGCTGGGAAGGATACTACTGTGAACCTGCCGGACTTACTTCAGTGGTAAGACGTCTTCATTATTAACAATAGACATTATTGACATTTTCTTTGAAAGAAGGTATCTATAAAAAAGAATAAAAAACACAAAGGAAAACCTGAAAAAAAGTGAAACGTCGAATAAATTTTGTCCTTTGAGGATTTCTCCCTCCGCAAAACCTAGCAAGCCAAATTTCCATTGGATCTGTAAGTCTGCCACAGTAAGACCGCACCATTCGGGACCTGCTTTTTAATGAAGCACCTCTTTTGTTAGGTTAGGTTTAGTTTTGTTGGGAAGACCAATCTATTGTCATTTTAATCCAATATATTATTTTTTAAACCAATCATGAAACTTGTTGCAAAAAAATTCCCCTTTGCTACGCCCTGAGTTTGGCGAGCCCAGAGCTATTTCAGGGAATTGATAAAAAATGCTGTAACATGCATTTGCTTGTGACTAAATTTCACAATTTTATCATGACAGGCTGATAAGTGTCCTCCAGGTTACTACTGCCCTGAGGGGACTGGCTACAAGTACTCGTATCCTTGTCCCATCGGCTTCTATCGCAACGCATCAGCTGCTGTCTCTGTTATGGACTGTAGTGTCTGCTATTCTGGTCACTACTGTGATGACCCTGGCCTATCAGTACCTAAGATTTGCCCAGAGGTTAGTTTTTAGTTATTATTAGAGACCTTTAGCAACATGTTTACCGCTAACCGCTACTAAGGATGAGGCACAGAAAGACGCCCCCCGCAAACACAGAGAAACACTCGTTAACACAGAAACAGGAAAAAAAACTTTATAACAGGGTTTGTGCTACTCCTTAAACTCCTTGAAAACTCCTCGAATTTAATTCACGTTTTCAAGGGCACTTGAAAAGCTCTTGAATATTACGATTTTAGCGAAACTCCTTGAAAACTCCTTGAATTTTTGCTTTGATCATTACTTGCATGGTTCTGAAATAGATCTAGTCAGAAAGATCGGAAAATCTGAAAGTCGGCCATGTGCAACCACCGTGCAAAACCTTGGCATAGTTAGCTGAACATACTCCTTGAAAATTCATTTTTGGGTCCTTGTATACTCCTCGACTAGTCCTTGAATGTTAAGTGGTTACCTCGGCACGAACCCTGTTATAGGTAAATTAATTTTATTTATTTATTTATTTATTTACGACATAATATTTAAACAAGATGCTTCTTCACTATAGTGATTTTCAAGAAGATCCTTTAAAACCAATAATATGTAACCAAACTGAATTATGAAAAGAGTTGATGAGACGAAATACAAATTGATAAACGCGTAAAATTACAATTGAGATTTTAAAACTTCTTTTCGTTCAGGGTCAATTCTGTCCAACCGGAACGACAACGCCACAGCCTTGTCCAAGTGGATACTTTAACAATGCAACAGGTGTCAAGAGAAGCGTAGACTGTACTCCATGTCCTGCAGGAAGATACTGTGCTGGCTTTGCTCTGAGGGAACCAACAGGGCCTTGTGATGCTGGCTTCTACTGCAGAGAACGTGCCTACACATCGGTAATAACATACTTGTCACTACGCAACTCAATCGTCACTATTATAGCAGGCGTACCTCGGTTATTTAGTGCGCGGCCTCCAGAGCTAGGGGTCCACGGTTCGATTATCAGGATCTGCACGTCTGTTTCAACTTATCTCTAAACCGTGTAGTTTGTCTTTGAATATTCTTAAAACAGAGCACTGATAGAGAGAGTAGTAAGTGCGCATCGTCGGCTTTCTGGGATACTATTAACGTAACTGAAGGAACTATCGACGTTAGATATAGTTACTTTCCCTTTTTTTGCATGTGACGTCTTAGCCGCCATTTTGGTTGCTTTTGACAAAATATTTATTCTTCTTGGTGTTTTTTGTCATGTCAACCAACATGGTGACGTCTTCTGTCTGAAGATGTAAGGCCCTGGCTAAACGAGGAAACGTGTTTCCAGAAACATGTTTAACGCGTGCATGTTTCCTCGATGTTTCCCAGTTTAGCCACATGCGAAACATTGCTGCGTGCAACAAATTTTGCTTCCAAGACGCAAAAAATGTTTGGCTGTGCGGCAGAAACATTTCATGTTTCCAAGACGCATGGAAACCGCATTGTTTCCCGATGTTTCCTGACAGTTTTGCCACCTTAGGAAACTTTAAGGGAAGCGTGTTTCTAGAAACATGTTTCCTCGTTTAGCCAGGGCCTAAATCTACTCTATGTTATTTAGTAACGCTCTTCATATTTTCACTTTTCGAAGGCGCCTCCAGAGGGTCTGACTGGAGGCCTTTGTCCAGCTGGTGGGTACTGTCCAGAGGGTGCAAAGGTTCCTGAACCTTGTCCAATAGGCACATACAGTAGCACTAAGGGTGCTAAAGCTGCGGAAGATTGTATTGACTGTGACCCAGGGTAAGAACGACTAACTTTGTGTACAGGGGCGGATCCAGGGGGTGTCATGCTGTGCACCGGACTCCCCTCTAACGCCGTAGTTTCTCTTACCCTTTTTTGAAGCGATGCATGATATCTCTATATACCTTTCTTTATTTGGGACACCACCTAACAAATTCCTGGATCCTTACCCTAGTGTACACAAGCTTTTATTCATAATCCGATACTTAAAACACACAAGTATTCTTTGTATTTCCCCTTTTTTGATTCCAATTTGATAATGGAGGAAGGCCAGAGTAAGGTCTGTTAGCCACTGACTATATTTAGGGCATCCCTACTCATGGGAAGTTTATTTATAATTTCAAAAATGCTAAATATCTTTTCAGAAAAAAATTCGAGTTTTATTGCTTAGGCTAAAATGATTGATGAAGGATGAATAAAAAAATAAGAGTATTCTCACCAATGCGACCCGAGTTCGAGTCCCGCCGTGCTCGCTTAGTGTCGTATATGAGTAGAGTTGTTTGTTGATTCTCTCCTGTGCTTTGAGGATTTTTCTCCGGCTTCTTCAGTTTTCCTCCCTCCGCAAAAATCAACATTAAAATTCCAATTGGAATTTAAGTTGATGAAGAGCCACAATTTATTATTATTTATAAGAGGGAGAGATAGAGAGATGAAGAGAAATATGCATGGCAATCGCAATAATAAGGTTTTTAATCTGCTAACCTAGGCATTATTGTGCTGGAGATACCAACCCCGAGCCTACAGGTCCTTGCTCACCCGGGCATTACTGTACTGGCAAGGCAAGTACACCTATCCAGTTTGTAACACCAGCTGGTCACTATTCAGAAGAAAGGGCTTCAGCACCTATACGATGTCCTGTCGGAACATATCAAGAGGTATGTATATAGCTTATTGTTCTCGGTAGCTAACTCTTACATAATATTTCTGTACTGTAATATGAACCTTCTGGGAGCTTTAAAGCACGAGAGAAGCAAGCTTATGAACATGGGGCGTAACCGAGTGTTTTTCTTGTTTTTCATGCGCCCTACAGCTTTCAGAATGTTTATATCACAGTACAGAGACATAAGCAARCGTTTTATATTGCTGTTATAAAATATTTTTGAACGATTTTGCGCGAGCGTGTATCTGTTTTTTCTGATATAAATACAGTAACTAGCCAATCAGCGCTCGGGAGTCGGGGACTTGCAGCTCTAAAAACGTCAGCATTTGAAACCCTCATAAAATTTGACTCGTAACACCATCGCCCACAATTGCAACAAAAAGCATTTTCACCTTGTAAAAWCACCCTAGGGCACCAATAGGAGTGATTTGTTCTGTAAGAGAATAATAGTTACGCTTAAAGATATTGATTAAAAGTATAAAACAAAAATATCCTTCGTTATGTGTTTAGGCTAATCGAGCATCAAAGTGCACCAAATGTACTGAAGGAGGATATTGTAACGCTACTGGTCTGGTGAGCCCAGTCAAGTGTCCTCCTGGTTATTATTGTAAAGCTGGAACGATAAATCCTACTCCATGCGGTCCTGTAAGTACCTACTAATTCACTTATTTCTTGGTCTGGATTTTGAGGGGTTCTTATGGACATAGAATCGTCTGCCATTCTTCACTTAACGTGGAAACTATTACCACTTAGAACTCCGCGCAGAATTCAGGATAAAGTTAGCTATACCAAGTAAATACAGAAGTACTGTATCCCTCCCTCGGGTCGGTATGAAAAGCCGGATTTTAGATCAGAACCATTTGCTTGCCTGGCGAATTAACGAAGAAGACTGCCCCTTACCCCAGCAAATTCCCAGCAGTCACAACAGACCTCTTTACCTCGGACGTAATGTTTTTCCATTTCAGACCACCTGTCATTCTGTAGAGTATTATTTCTTTGTTTAACGATTGCGCAGGTTAAGACACATATAGATACAACTTGAATGTGTTTATGGGCGATTTGATTCTTGACCGTTGGCATTGTGTTTTTCAGGGGACATACAATGGCAATCCTGGTGGATCAAACATTGCATTTTGCGTCAATTGTAAAGCTGGACATTACTGTGGCAAACCCGGCTTGGAGAAACCTGAAGACAAGTGTGATGCAGGCTATTACTGCCATGATGGATCACCTACACCAACACCAGTAAGTCGACTGACATGACTGGTGGTAACTAGAGCAGTTTTCGTATGACTGAAAAGTTTAGTGCCGTAAGCGTGCCGTGCCGTGACCTAGAATATGTCATGTTTTCTAGAATATTAATTGGCTGATTTTTTTCTCGCGCAATGTGATTCGTCTGGTAGTGCCGTGACATTGACGTGACCGTGTCTGCGCTGATTTTATGCCGTGTTCCGGGTATTTAATCGTGCAATGTGATTGGTCTGGCATATCCCTTGTCRTGGCATGCGACCGTGTGCGTGCTGTGATCTTTTCACAGTCATACGAAAACTGCTCTAGTTCCGACTGTGTTGGTGTGTTCAATACAACAAGTGGATAAGAAGGGAACTTACAGCCTGTAAAAAAACTTTCAACTGTGCTGACATCAGTATCGGAAGTTTGTCCTTAGTCCCACGAAAGACTAATGTCCGAAAGTTTACGTTTCCTTCTTATTCATATGTTATCTCTCAAATGTTACTAATCTTCCTTCATGTAAGCAATTATTTTCGGGGCATGGAAAAATTTCAAGATTTTATTTGACTTGATTTTATTTGATTTGATTTGGTTTTACTTTGATTTGAAATTTAAGCTGATGTAACTTTTTTCCTACAAAAATTTGCATCAAAATTGAATGAATCCTATTTGTTTGAAATTTCTTTTTTTCATTTCTTTTTTTCCTTTTTTTTTTTTTTTTTTTTATGATTGAAATTTTCTTTTAAATGGAACCTTTAAAAATCTATAAAATAAGATAAAATAAGGATAATAAATAAAATGTATCTTCATGGTATAACAATTTATCATTTAATGTCATTTAATGTTATTTGTCAATTTTAGGATAATGGCACATTCATTAACTACAACGTGACCTCGGACTATGGAGGTGTATGTCCACCCGGCTACTACTGTCCCAAAGGCACCGAAGGTCCCTACCAATACCCCTGTAAAAACGGCACCTACAACCCTGTCCAGCAACGTACTAGTTCTTCAGACTGCATCAGCTGTGATCCTGGAAGAGTCTGTAACGGTAGAGGCCTTACTGCACCGACTGGAAACTCCAGTGCAGGATTCTACTGTGAAAGGGGATGCGTTACGTCTATGCCAACGGATGGAGTTACAGGGAATATATGTCCAGTGGGTTACCACTGCCCCGAAGGAAGTGCCACAAAAAGAGAATGCGAAGATAGTACCTACAGGTAAAAAATGCCATTTCTTCAATTAAAGCAATGAGTAGCTATTCATGAATGGAAGATTGTTATACATACCCTACATAGAGCTCATGAACAACTAAGGGAAGCTGAGGGATATTATTAAAGCGGGTGTAGCCGAATTTTTCTCTTGCTTGTCGATGGTATTGCAGTTTCCAGTGTGTTTATATCACAATACGGGAAAAAAAGCGGCCGTTTAAATTGCATTCATAAGATATTGTTTGCCCCCGGATATATAGTCGGTAGCTAACCAATGTTTCTCGCTTTCTTGTTCTTATCAGCAATATCACAGGACTTGCTAAATGCTTAGATTGTCCAGAAAGGTTCTACTGTAAAGGAGGTGCAGATGCTCATACACCATTGCCATGCCCAACAGGACATTACTGCCCAAAAAGAACAGGTATCTCTCAGCCAAAGTGCCCTCCTGGTACCTACAACCCCCAGGTAAGAACGACATATATAATTCCAATAATTATTAAAGTAATATGTCTTCAACATTGATGTTATATACCTCTTTAGCTTGGGTGTACTATTTTTCCCTTTTCAGACCACGTGTCATTCTCTTGAGAACAAGATTCTTTGTTTGAGTTTCATCCATATTCATGCGTCTTCTCATGCACAACCGTTAGATAAAGAAATGATACTCATACGAATGACTAGGGATTTGAAATGGGAAAACATTTACACAGGCCTCGATCCGAAAGTTTCGTATATTAACCACCCTATTTAGTTAATAAAGCTAAAATCAGCCCAGGAAGTCTTAGTGTCTTCCTTTTAAATATTTGTATAGAGGCGTTGCACCATCACGTGATGGCAACCACGACAGGAGGCACAACAATATATTTTTGTTCTCCTGGGAAACTGAATTCTTTCTTGCGTAAATCAGATTAGACCAGATTCAATTGTTCCTGCCTCCTGTCATGGCAGCCATCACGTGATAATGCTAAACCTCTATTCACGGTGAATACTTTCTTTATTAGACTGGACTTGCTGGTGATAAAGAATGTTGGCCATGTAAACCCGGCAAATTCTGTTTAGGCTACGGCAACAAAGAGTTCCCAAGTGCAACTTCAGGCGATTGTGATGCTGGTTTTTACTGCAAACTTGGTGTCAACACCCCAAGGCCAAACTCTAACTTTACAGGAATAGGTGGTGTTTGTCCTCAAGGGTCGTACTGCCTTAAAGGTACTCCAGAACCGATTGGGTGCCCCAATGGAACGTTCTCGAATGTAACTCAGTTAGAAGATGCTGCAAGCTGTACACTTTGTTCGGATGGTCACTATTGCGAAGAGTCAAACCTGACCAGTCCTACAGGTATACTTATGCTATATACACCTATCTCAAAAAGCGTTGTCGGTCGGAGATCGAAAATCTGAGAACGAGTAACACTCTGCAAAATGTAATATATTTAATGCCGAACATCGTAGTTTCCTATTATATTGGAATACGAACATGGTCTTTGAGTTAGGAATGTGATTTTCCGTAATTTAGTCAGAAAACATGAAAACACAAAAATTCCGTTTAATATCAGATCGCCCCGGCATTTCAGATCTTAGGGCCCGGTTGTACGAAGGGTGAATAGCGCTGTCCAACGTATAAATCCTTATTCAGTGGATAAAGTGATGCTGTAATCCAATAAATTTATCCACTGGATAAGATTTATCCATCGTATAGCGCTATCAAGGCTTCGTACAACCGGGCCCAGACCGACAACACTTTCCAAAACAGTTGTATACACTTTCTTTTCTTTTCTTTTCTTTTCTTTTTCCTTTTTTTTTTTTTTTCCAACGGTGCTAAGAATATCATCATCATTTAATTATTAATGACAAAACCCACTTCGTCATGATACCGGCTCCGTCATGATAACGGCTTTTTATTCATTGCCATGTTGTGTTATATAGATATAGACCCCTTGCACTGACTCCCGAGAGGAATTGTTCTGGGGGACAAAACAATGGATTTTTTTGCATAAGAAAAGATGGCCTATAATTGTGTCCCCAGAGCAATTCCTCTAGGAAATCAATGCAAGGGCTCTATTCATTTAATAGATAACAAAACGTAACCAATTTGTTTCCTTTGTTAAGGCCCATGCGCAGCCGGGTTTTATTGTAAGAGAGGATCCAATACAGCCCGACCTACCATTACCACGTCAACTGGAGGGCCTTGCACTGTGGGTCATTACTGTCCAGAAGGCACGTCTGTCCCCAAGAAATGTCTTGCAGGCACGTATAATCCAAACACAGGAGAAGCTGAATGCTTTCCATGCATGGAGGGATATTATTGTACTGAAGGATCTACTGGTTATGTTTCCAGTCCTTGTCCTGAAGGTCATTATTGTCCGAATGGAACGAAATTTTCCACCCAATTTCCGTGCCCGAAAGGGTATTTCAATAATAGGACGATGGCTACGAATTTGGGTGACTGTCTCCCTTGCCCTGGTGGAATGTACTGCAATGCTTCTGGTCTCTCAGGACCGACTGGCGAGTGTGATGCAGGTTGGTTTTGTGTCAGGGCTGCGTGGGAGAATAGGCCTCGAGATTATGATAACTTCACATCAGGAGATTGCTTATGCCCCTCAAATTCTACCGGAGGGGAATGCCAACCTGGATTTTACTGTCCTAAAGGCTCGCACGAACCAAAGTTGTGTACTGGAGGGTATTACTGTGGAACCAAAGGACTCAGCTCAGAGACTGCGCAGTGTGACGCTGGCTGGTACTGTACAGGTGGAGCAAAAATAAGTCGACCTAATGACGGAGTAACGGGTGACATCTGTCCTGAAGGAAAATATTGTATAAAGGGAACCAAGGTACCCGAACTATGCCCTAACGGAACCTATTCTAATAACACCGGGAACAAACAAATAGGGAACTGTGCCCTTTGTGTAAGTGGGTACTTCTGTCGAGGAATGGGAAACACGAAACCAACAGGGCAATGTAACCCAGGTTTCTACTGCGAAAGTGGCCAGGACAATCCAAATGCCGCTCAATGTACTGCAGGTCATTACTGTAAACGTGGAAGTCCGGCACCTGTTAAGTGTGAATCTGGAACTTATCAGAATGAAGTGCAAAAGGAAGAATGCAAAGAGTGTCCTGCTGGATACTACTGTGATAATACCAACGATCTTACTTTATATACTTCGTATATTTGCCCTAAGGGTTATTACTGCCCAAATGGAACTAAATTCTCAACACAGCATGGTTGCCCAGAGGGCACGTATGGTAATGAAACGAAATATTACAGCGCCGACCAGTGTATCAAGTGTCCGCCCGGCACCTATTGTAGAGGTAAATTTTTATCTCTTTGCAATAAGATTTTTTAATTTAATTATTTTTATTTACTTTGTTATACCAATCAACTTGTTATCCATGTTGTTTGCCTATATTTATTCCCTAATTATATGTATTTCAGAGATATTGATATGTAAACTACTTCTCTACAGGTTCCTCTGACAGTTTCACTGAATACTGCACGGCGGGTCATCACTGCATTCTTGGATCATTCACACCAACGCCCACTGATAACGTGAGGGGACGTGAGTGTCCCCAAGGACAGTACTGTGTAAAGGGCACTAAAACCCCTGAAAACTGCCCTGCCGGTACTTTCTCGAATGCATTCAAACTGAGGAGCGCTTTAGAATGCACAAATTGCACGCCTGGGATGTTTTGCAATGATTCAGGGCTGACAACACCAAGTGGTCCTTGCCATCCACGTTACTACTGTTCAGGAAGAGCAACACATCCTGCACCACAGGATGGCATAACTGGGGGTAACTGTACACCAGGACATTATTGCCCCGGTCAGACACCACAGCCCATACCGTGTGAAGTAAGTCTTCTCTCCAATAAAGTTGCATGCTTGATTCATTTCTCATTCATATTTATCTTGTCGTTGTCGTCATTGTCTTTTTTTTTTTTTTTTTNTTTTTTTTTTTTTTTTTCGTCTTTTTGCTTGGTTCAAGTCAAAATTATTTTCTTAAACGCTATTCAAACTTACTTGATCCATTTATCCATTCATACGCTATAAGCAAGACTTTTCCTATCCGACTTGTTTCTGACTAGCGATTCTGCAACCCAAACATCCAGATTGTTTGAAAATGGCTTCTAATGCCCAAGCCAACACTTCTTGCGAACTTGAGTTTGGGTTTTGTGTGTGTTCTAAACTTAACTTAATGCCTGTTCATTTAACTCTGCAGGATGGAAGTTACATGAAAGACCCTCTAGCAGATGCCTGTATACCATGTCCTGCTGGGTACTACTGTGTTAATGATAAGAGTTTAGATCCAGAACGTTGCCCGTACGGTTACTACTGTCCATTACGTACTGGATTTAACTGGAGTTCTTGTCCAAAAGGAACCTACGATGACAGAGGAGGTCTTGCTAATGTGACATGTACGTAGATTCCTGTCTTTCTTTCTACTAAATCAATTCGATATATATCCAATAAATATCAGGATAAAGTCAAAAAAAACAAAAAAACATTACTTGTTGTTTGATTTTTCAGCCTGTCGTCAATGTGGTACCGGCAAGTACTGTGCATACCCTAATGCCACCAAAGAAACCGGCTCCTGCAGTGCTGGATACTACTGTCGTGAAGGTGCCGATACACCAACTCCAGAATTCGGTGCAACAGGAGATGCAGGGCCATGCCCTAAAGGACACTTCTGTCTAAATGCAACTGGTGAACCTTACAAGTGTCCAATAGGGAYGTATTCCAATGTGACGCACTTGACAGACTCCAAATATTGTGAAAAATGTGGCTATGGTCATTACTGTGGTGAACCGGGTCGCTCAGACTATTCTGGAGAGTGTGATCCTGGTTTTTACTGTTTAAGAGGATCCAAAGTGCCCAACCCACCAAACGTGACAGAATCTGGAGGGCCCTGTCCTATTGGTCACTACTGCACAAAAGGAACTTCATACCCATTAGGCTGTAAAGAAGGGACTTATAATGACCGCACTGGACAATCAGCATGTCGAACATGCTGTGCAGGTTACTATTGTCCATCTAACTCAACGTCTTGTATTATGGAATGTCCTAAAGGACATTACTGCTTGAATGGAACCGAGACGCCGTATCAGTTCCCTTGTCCAAAGGGAACTTATAACAACTTAACTGGCATGCAAACTAGGAGGTATTTTGGTTTTTATACTTAAATGTTTTCCTTGAAATCCCGGCTATTAATCTCCCCCCACGGAAGAAGCCCACCTATGTTTTATTCATTGAGGAAACATAAGTGACTGAGACTGGGAAAATAACAAAAAAGTAATGATCGTTTCCTCTTCATTCCAAACTTTGTTACCTCCAGGTATAATAAGGCCTTCCCCAATATTAGGTCTCCCCGAACACAAGCCCCTCAAAAGCCCTTCAAAAGCCCTTCAAAAGCCCTAACGAATGAGTATAAGCCTAGCGCTTATGGATTCTACGGCATTTTAAAGTTCCCTTGTTAGGATAGTTGGTAGTAGCTTGACTATTTGTAATCTATAGACTATTGGTAGCCATTTTCATTTATTATTTTTTTCCAGTACATTGTACACTTTCTCTAAATACCATTTTTAATATCTTCTGTTTTAGTTCCTGTAAGCCATGTCCACCTGGTCAGTTCTGTGGTTCAGAGGGACGTGATGTGCCGTCAGGCAAATGTTCTAAAGGATTTTATTGCATACGTGGGGCATGGACCGATAAACCAACAGATCTGGGAGTTGTCGGTTACAGCAACAGTTCCAATATAACTCAGTGTTTCTGTCCTAATACTACCACAGGAGGAATGTGTCAGCCAGGAGAGTACTGCCCAGCAGGATCACACGAACCAGTGCCATGCACTAAAGGTAAGAATTCAATGGAATTTAGAAAACATTTCATGAACTGAATGATTCTCAACTTGTTTCTGTAAGAGTTAATGGTTTGAAATCAAGTTTGTGGGGTGCAATCGTCCGGGTGAGTGTAGTCTTGAGAAAGATTGTTGTGGGTGGTGACTGACTTTTGGACAACCTGAGCGGAAGTCATCTTCAAGGTCTAGTGAGTTTTTTCAAAGACAAGTTTGTGTAAATTAGAAACAAAACTTAATCCCTCTTCAGTTACTGCATAAATGAACATGACATGAATTAATAATGATTTTTCTCAACATCGTCATTTTTTTTTTGTTTAATTAGGATATTACTGTGATGCCTCTGCTTTGGCGAACGTCACTGCACCTTGTGATCCTGGTTTCTTCTGTGTTCTCGGAGCCAAAGTTTCAAATCCTCGCGATAATAAAACAGGAAATGTCTGCCCAAAAGGCCATTATTGCGAAAGAGGAACGTACAGCCCTACACCGTGCCCCAAAGGAACATACTCAAACTCTACCGAAAACAAAAATGTTTCAGATTGTAGCCCTTGTCTAGCCGGTTATTACTGTGGTTCTCTAGGTCTTGGTGGTCCTACGAATGAATGCGATAGTGGATATTATTGTCCACCTGGTCAATCAACCAGTAGACCAACAAAATATGAATGCACGCCTGGTCACTCCTGTCCACCAGGAAGTCCTATACAGTTAACTTGTGAATCAGGGAGTTATCAGGATGAGTACAAAGGAAGCTCTTGTAAAGAGTGTCCCGAGGGGTACTATTGTGATGCTACTATAATCAATGTTACTCACTGTGTTCATGGAGTTCAGCTTCCTTCACCTTGTGTACCGGGACATTTTTGTCTGAATGGTACCAAGTCAGCAAAACAATACCCATGTCCTGCAGGTTAGTGAAATATAACATCTTTATGCTTCAAAAAATAGTTTTAATGTGAACCTGTTTTAATGTTGCTGCAGCTAATGTTTACTGTTGTCGTTGTTGTTGTTTATGTTGTAATTGTTGTTGTTTATGTTGTAATTGTTGTTGTTTATGTTGTAATTGTTGTTGTTGCTGTGGTTTGTGGTCGTTGTCGTTGTCGTCGTTGTTATAAATGATCTTAAATGGAATTATTGCTAGACAGATTGCAGGAGGGCTATTACTTAAGCAATGTTCCGAAATTGTTTCTGTAAACAATTGCGGCAACGCTGCAGCGTGATTTAGTTTCTTTACTTCATTTGCGAATACTAAATTGCTGCAGGCAACATTCTTTTACTAAACTTTGCTTTCTTGTTAAGGAACACATACAAATAAAACGCACCGCAAGAATGCTGCGGAATGCAGTCCCTGTCCACCCGGAAAATTCTGCCAAGGAACTGGTAACAAAATGTGGACCGAAGAATGTAAAGCTGGTTTTATATGTTACGGTGGTGCCAACACGTCTAGTCCAACTGATGGAATAACGGGAAAGCCTTGCCCAAAAGGGTAAATAAATATTAATTGTATATAAACTACTATTTACTTCCAAAATTACATAACATAGCTAAAATTTTGCTTCTTTTGCTTCTTACAGGAATTATTGCCCGAAAGGTACTACAGCGACGGTGCCGTGCGATGCGGGTAGCTATGGGCCAACAGAAAAACTTGAATCTCAGTCTCAATGTAAGCTATGCGATCCTGGAAGTTTTTGCGACAAGCCTGGTCTGGAAGCGGTGTCTGGAAATTGTTCTGCTGGGTTTTACTGCCGTGGTAATTCATCTGTGTCAGAGCCACCTGACGATGAGACAGGCAAGTAGTTTGATTTTACATTTGGCAAGACCATTCACGGTTGTGAAATTCTTCATCCATACTTTCTAACAGGGATTAAAATAAAGTATTCCATTTGCCATGGTTTTTCTTGTTGTGACTAAGACAAGCACTCTAGGTTTTGTTTTTGTAATTTCATTTTTTAGCATCGTGTAATATAATTTTGAATACCGATTCCATTTATTTGATTAGGGGGTAGGTGTTGGATTGGCCATTATTGCCCGTCTGGTAGTCCTATTCCTTTCCCATGTGAACCAGGAAGTTTCATGAATCATACAACATCTTCCAAGTGTTATACGTGTCCCGCAGGACATTACTGTGTGAATGGCATCAAGCCTTTACCTTGTCCGGCAGGTAAGCGTTATAACCGATTAAGATATTAATATTATTATTATTATCCATCTTTATAAGTTCATTCTAATTCCTTGACCAACTTTTGTAGTGAGCAAGGGTGGCGCAGCTGTGAGAGCGCTCACCTCTCACGAATATGACCCGGGTTCGAGTCCTGGCCGTGCTCGGTGTCGTATGTGAGTAGAGTTGTTGGTTCTCTCCTGTACTTTGAGGGTTTTCCGGGTTCTCCGGTTTTTCTACTGAATTCCAATTGCAATCCAGTGGAGGAAGAGCCACTCTGTGGAACCCACTGTTAATCCCATTCATTATTTATTTAAAGCTTTAAGTAGTATCAGCTAATTCAGCTTGTAACTTGTAATAGGTTGGTATTGTCCAGCTGGAACTGGTTATAATTGGAATCCCTGTCCTCGTGGAACTTACAGTCCGGTCCAGTACATTTACGAGGAAAGTCAGTGTCATGCATGTGACCCTGGTTACTTCTGCGATAGTATCAATGCAACGTCTCCCGCAGGAACGTGTGCTGATGGCTTCTTTTGTCGAAATGGATCAGATTCAAGAACCCCCATGGGTGGACATAGAGGGGATGCTGGTATATGTCCAACTGGTCATTATTGCCCAGCTGGTAATGCACTATCTCCTATAGCATGCTCTGAAGGCTACTATAACAACCAAACTAGTCGCTCCAAAAGTGGTGACTGCCGGGCTTGCCCAGGTGGGTGGTATTGTGAAAAACCAGGTTTGGAGTGGCCAAGTGGGGAGTGTGACGCTGGTTTTTATTGCATAGAAAAAGCTACAATTCGTAATCCTAACAATGTTACTGACACTGGAGGTCCCTGCCCTCCTGGACATTTTTGCCCTCTTGGCTCACCGTCTCCTCAAGCTTGTCCAGGTGGTGAATATAATTCACTGTGGAAGCAGAGTCACTGTTATGTTTGCCCCGAAGGACATTTCTGTCCTAATGCATCCTCTAATTACACTGAATGTTATGAAGGATTTTATTGTCCAAACGGCTCCGCCAGTCCTTCACCGTGCCCCAAAGGTACCTACAAGAACTACACTATGGGAAACAAAGAGGACGACTGTAAGATGTGTCCACCAGGAAAGTATTGTCCATTGAATGCTATGAAACGTCCAGCTGGAAGCTGCTCTCCTGGGTGGTATTGTAGTGGAGGTTCTTGGGRAAAAGAACCCTTAAATACCGCAGACATAGGCAATGGCACAGCAGTTTGTCCTTTAATTGGAAGTATAGGTGGTTACTGCAAAAAAGGATCTTTCTGTCCTGAGGGTGCTAATGCACCTCGACCATGTACTTCTGGGTATTACTGTGACCGAGATTATCTTGATAAAGAGGCTGGGTTATGTACGGCTGGTTACTACTGCAATGGAAGTACGGTTTCCTCACATCCTGTGAATCAGTCAAACGGGGATCGTTGTCCTAAAGGACACTACTGCCCAACTGGAAGTCCATACCCATTACCTTGCAAACCAGGAACCTACGCAGACAAAGAATACAACCAGTTTAAGAACAACTGCTTGCCCTGTATTCCAGGGATGTACTGCCCGCAATTTGGAATGCACTATCCCAAAGGAAACTGTACTAAAGGATTCTATTGTCCTGCTGGGCAAACTGAAATGACTCCCCCAGATAAGGAATGTCAGCCAGGTCACTACTGTCCTGAGGGTAGTGGTCAACAAAATCCTTGTTTGGCAGGAGAATATCAACCATACAAAAGGCAAGATCAATGTATACAGTGCCCTGAAGGAAGTTATTGTGATCCAAATGAGGCACGAGTGAACTCATCTAGTGGTGCAAATAGTTCATCCCACGGTGTTGTTGCTCCCACGGACTGCCCTGTTGGATATTACTGCCCTAAGGGAACTCAATCAGCCAGTCAATATCCATGCCCTATTGGAACATTTGGTAACACAACAAAGCTTGCGTCAAAGGGACAGTGCACGCCATGCACTAAAGGTCACTACTGTGCTACTGAAGGCAAGAAGTTTTCTCCTACTGGTAAATGTCATGAAGGGTACTATTGCATCGAAAGAGCAAGTCTTCCAAATCCTAACGATACAGTAACAGGAGGACCTTGTATGCCCGGGTTCTACTGCTTGTCTGGGTCTTATAAGCCTGAACCTTGTTCACCGGGAACGTTTGGGCCACGTTACAGATTAACGAACTCTTCAGAGTGTGTTGATTGCTATGGAGGTCAATACTGTGCAGCATATGGTTTATCGGCACCTAATGGGTCTTGCGATGCTGGATTCTTTTGTTCTGGTCGTGCAGTCCTTCCGAATCCTGTGTCTGAATCTTACGGAGATGTTTGTCCCTCTGGTCATTTTTGTCCTGAAGGGACGACCACGCCATTCAAATGTCCACCTGGAACATTCAATAATAAAACAAGAGGAACGATGGCTGAAGACTGTACACCTTGCCCACCTGGAGAATATTGTCAAGGTTATGGACGCGAGTATCCGAATGGTAAATGTGACCCCGGATGGTATTGTACGAGAGCGGCTTATTCTCCTCGTCCTTTGCCTCACATGAGAGATGTCTACAATAACTCAAATCTCTTCAGTTGCCCTATCTATTCTGTCAATTATACCGGTGGAATTTGCCCAATAGGTCACTATTGTATTGAGGGTTCCTCAAAACCACGACCATGTGTTGCAGGAAAATTCTGTTCTAGAGAAGGGCTTTCTTCCACTTCCGGAGACTGTCATGCCGGTTTTTACTGCAAAGGTGGTGATACTGTCCCAAATCCAGTCAACTGTTCAGCAGGACATTACTGTGTCAAAGGCACTCCCATGGAAGAACCTTGTCCAGCTGGAACATTTTCTCCCGATACTGGTAACCAAAAGAGAGAGAATTGTCAAAACTGTACAGCAGGATACTATTGCCCTTCCCCTGGTGCAACGTCTGTTGTATTCCAGTGCCTACAGGGCTATTACTGTCCAAGTGGGTCCATTAACAACGCAACAGAAATATGCCCAAAGGGTTATGAATGTCCAACCGGTAGCCCACTTCCATCCAAGTGCAAACCAGGGTTTTATCAAGATGAAGAAGGAAAATGGACGTGTAAGGCTTGCACTCCCGGTTTCTACTGTGATCCAACGTCTTTATCTACTGGAGTTATCAATCCAGTCAAATGTTCTGCTGGAAATTACTGTCCTCGGCAAACAGCTACTGAACAAGAACATCCATGCCCCCCTGGTACCTATGGTAATGAGACTGGTTTAGAAAAGGTTGGGCGATGTCGACCGTGCCCTCCTAGATATTACTGTGGAGCAGCAGGGCTGGTGAAACCATCAGATCTTTGTAATGAAGGTTCGTATGATATAACAATTATTTAATTTATGTTCTAAGATTGTATGCTCCAGGATTTTTTGTTTGTTTGTTTGTCTGTTAATGCATTTGTCATTTGTTAATGTAATGTTGACACGTTTGCATTATACATAAGCAAGTATTTAAGGTAGCTCCATATAGTTAATTTTTACCGCGAGGGAAATGGGAACGAGTTTTATGATGGCGCGAG